ACACAATAATAGTGTAATCACTACAGTAGGGGGCTAGTCCACTGGAAGTGGTATGTGTTTAATTCTCATACTCTTTCCCAAATGATAAGTGCTAAGCAGAGAAAGCATCAAGTACCATTTTTATTTTAAAGTCTTTGGTATGACTCAGCTGAAACTCACTGGCAACCTATCGAATGCAAGGCAAGCACTCTACCCACTTGGCCATTACACCCAGTTTAAAAGTTTGAAAACATGTAGTAGCAGGAAGAAAATTGCAGAGGCCATAAATATGCTCAAGGGGGTGGCAATTAGTGACAATGCAATTATTTCAGCATCATAAACTCTGGACCATAAAAGACCATAAACAAATACATGTAATCCAGAAAACAGAAAAGTACTTCTAGCCTATCATGTATAAGACCCGGTTTACACGACGACAAAAAACTGGCGTACGATAATGGCGTACGCACGCGATCGTACGACAATTGCGTACGACCATTTTTTCCAGCGTGTAAACCGGCCCCACCTATCGTACGCACCTATCGTACGCAATTTGCGTACGCCACCTCGAAGGCAGGCGTACGATCGTGTACGATCGCCCAGCGGGGAGTCAGGATGCCTCCCCGCCTCGTGTAAACGCGACTGATCGTACGAACGGCGTTCGCAAGCACTTCCCTGTTGCAGGAGGTCAGGGGTCATATGCAAATTCCATTCTTCTTCCCGCGCCTGTGAAAACCCACGCCGTGTTACTGATCTTTACTCTGTTTTCTCTGATCCGTTTCGGTTTTCCTTTTGTTTTTTTATCGTATTTGATTTGTTTGTTGTTTTGCTGAGCCTGTTTGCTCGCGACTGCCGCAACTGACCATGGCAGAAGTGCGCAATAGCTCTAACTGTCACGTTCCCACACTGACCGATCGATCCCGCCTTGAGCTTGAATTATTGCAATGACTGCAAAAATTGCTGCCCGTTGGATCTCATGGTACCGCTCCCTACGACGTCCAACCCTTCTTCTACGCAATGCCCGGCGACGCAAGTACATCCGTGAAAAGAAGAATAGCAACATCTGACGCATGAAGAACAGAAAAAGAGCCTGTTCTCCCGCCATTTTGAAAATAGCGCTATGTCAAAGCTCGCGGCGGGTCAAATGGGGTCACGATAGTGTGGAGCGCTGCGGGAGTCCCGGCGCTGTCCGTCCCGCTCCGTGTAAACCGAAACGGACGTACGATCGCGTGCGTACGCCATTATCGTACGCCAGGTTTTTGTCGTCGTGTAAACCGGGTCTATAATGTAACTGTACAGTTTGTCCTATGCTATGTGTTCTTTACTTGTGATGTTTATTTTTTTAGATTTAAAAAAAAGTTGTTGATGAAGTGTTGATGAAGTAACAGCTTCCCTATCTGTTTCCCTGACTCACCTAACAGTCAGTTGTTATTCCAAACTTGTAACAATACCCTCCCAGCAAAACAAACATATACATGTACATGCCTAGGAGACATATATAAACTAGGACAAGATCAGATCAGATCAGATGGCAAAACATACAGGACAGTGTGACACTATTGTCTTATATGTTTTGTCATCCGTCAGGTCTTGTCTAAACAAAATCACACATTCTTTAAGGGACAGGCAAGGAAGGTCCTTTGACTTTTTTCTTGACTCAAAATCTCTTGTCCTGCTAATATCCCACATTCAGCATATCATGTTATACAATGTATGCCTGCCACTGTATATGTTTGTTGCTTTAGGCCATTCATTCTGGTTTAAAAAAATAAAACTTACCATAAACATGCTCCTATGTTAGACAGTACTGCCCAACATTCAAATAATCTAGTTCATGTGTATTTGTACAATTTTGTTGATAGATGATACATGATGTATAATATCTTTTTCGTTCTAATGTCATTCAGCCTTTATTCTGTGATTAACTTCTTGTGATTTTTTTGCATGATTTTTTTTTCACAAGTCAGAAAATAGGAAATAGGCAAATCCAAGAACAGACAAATTAAATTGTTGTATCCGTAACAGCGCTGGAGTTCACCGGTTATGTAAATACAGGAAACAGTTGCCCTTTGCTGTCTAGGACATTAACAGTGCTGTGACAAATTGCCTCTTTTTCCAAGTTTGCTCCCCAGTTCCCTGCACGTTTTATACCTATTAATCTCCGCTTGAGCTCAAATTATAGTCGCCCCGTCAAGTGAGAGTTGCAGCGTTGTTCTCAAACTATCCCTTCCCAGCAACAGGCGAGAGGGCCTAAAGAAGGCGGCATTAGGTTGTAAATCGTGTCGACAAACAAACCGTTGGGCACAGACTCAGAGTCTGTAAACAGGGAAAGATTTGCTCCCGGTGCACGAACGCTTTGTTGATGGTCGGTTCGTGCCCGGATGAAAGAAGCAGACGCAGCAATGACTGTATCTAATGGCAGTTTATGATTCTTTGCACTCCCGAGCACGTGGCTAGTGTCACTGTTTGAAAGTTCTCGCTGATGGCACTTAAAAGTGTCAAGCAGTCAGCTGGAAAAAATTATCAACCTAATAGCACACTGAAAAGAAGTAGATACAACAACGCCTATAACTAATGGCACTTTATGATTCTTGCACTCCTGAGCACACTGTTTGAAAATTCTTGCTGATGGCACTTAAAAGTGTCAAGCAGTCAGGTGGGACAAAGTCATTAACCTTTGGTACACTGAAGTAGCCATGTGGCTATCAATTTTTGTTTGTTACAGTATCAGACAGCAGAGAGAAGGTTGAAAAGGGCTTCTTTGACCTAGTGATCCTAAAGCCTGCCTTTGAGGTGAAAGGTCCGTACATGTAGTACATTCTTAGAGTGTTGCTAGGACACCTGTTAACACAAGTAGCCTGGTAACCAGTAGCCTGGGTGCCAGACTGCTTCCAGGGAACATAAAGGCCAGTTCCTTGGCTCCATGTCTCCAAGGAAATTATAGCACAGACCCCTCAGTTAGACCCAGCTCAACAGTGGAAGCGTCATTGTTATCATAGTGGGGGGGGGGCACGTATACGCTGGCTAACTCTGGGGCTATGGGTCTGGCATCCAGGCTAGGATGCTAGGTAACCACACCATTGCGAGCTTCCTGGTATGCCTACTTTGTTGGAAGTGTTTCCAACCCCAGCTTGATTAACACAGGCCAGAGAGCAGTAATTAGAAAGGCTGGTTGGAAAGATAACAATGTTAGGCTGCTAATCTCCAACAGAAGTTAGGCCTGTTTAGGCCTCTTGGAGTAAAGGTAAAAACACCCCTATATGACAACCAAGTGGGAATGGTTACCAGGCTAAACTGTAGTACCCTGGATGCCAGACCCATAGCATGCTAGGCCCAGAGTTAGCCAGCATGCCAGTGGATCAGGGCCCAACTGTGGGGGCTGTAGTATAATTTCCTTGGGAGCATAATGGTCCCGGAGCCAAAGAACTGGCCTGCGTAGACCCTGGAAACAGTCTGGCACCTAGGCTAAACCCCAGAAGCCAGATCAGACCTGTTAATGGTTCCAGTCTGCCATCATGATAATGATTAAACACCCATTACCAAATCCATGACAAATTAATTGGCCATAGTGTGGGAGGGGGATTACCTATTTGGTCATGCCTTGCTCTAAGCAGTCTCCCAGGTGCAGGAGTAATTTATTAGGGTAACAGTATCCTTCTAAACAAATCTGTTAAGCTGAATAAACAGTTGTGTTAGTTCTGTGGTAATTGATGGTACCTGGGACTGTAGTAGGTATCTGGGTCACTTTCCTTAGGAGCTGGGTAGAATCCTGCAAAACAAAATGGCAGAAAAAGGATGTTTTGTATTGTGTTCGACTATAGCTACACCAATGATATGTCTGTTGTATTTTCAACAACAGCTAGCCTGGGTGCCAATGTTTTTAGATTACCGGTTGAGTATGGGACAACTGGTATTGGTAAATTAAATGGATGGCACCCAGGCTAAACAATGATGGCGTAAATACATGTAGCATGAAAAGGGCTGAGTATTGTACATCACACATCATACTGTTGAACATATGCAATAAACATGTAAAAACAGTCTTGCAGTGAGCTTATAATGTTGATAAAACAGCAAAAGACATGAAAAAGAGAAGCGGAATTGTATATACTTCTAGCATGTTGAAGTTGTTTGGAGAGATCTAAGCTTTTTAGAAATTATTACGCTACTGTCGTTGTGGTACATGATCGAAATGGTAAGAATTTTACTGTTCTGACTGCCTGAACTTGGCAAATTAAAGGGTCCATTACAGATGTTGCAGAGACTCCTACTGAGATGTTAGAAAATTGCAGTTTCCAGCCTATCACCCTTTCATTTCTTCATCAGTTACAGGACAGTTGACCCTGATATGTAAGGGTATCTAATGTTGATGTATGATTTACTAGTACCTAAACCTAATCTTCATACCAGGGGCCTGATTTTTGCTTACTTGCTGAAATAATTTGAAACACAACATTTTAGCTGTAGGCCATCTTTCCTGTCAAACAAAGTCATACAAGGACCTCCTCACCAAATTAAAGAAATGGAAACTGGAGTTTTACATCACAGTCATCGGGACTACCCAAAGCTATAATGCAAGGAATTGTCTAGGGCGGAAGAAAGGCAATGTAAAAATGGGGTAATAGTCGAGAATGGACCAGCATGACACTGTAGGTGACAGAAAACTGAGAAGGTTGGAGAAAACTGGTTGTGAGACCATTTGTGGTGCCCCAAAAGTCAAATGATTTAGATTTGAGATGATTTGTAACCGTAACAGGTGGCAAAAGAGTCCAGTGTGGAACTTCTCAATGAAGTTGGCAGTTTCATTCATTCATCCATTCATTTGGTTGCTTGTCTCTCTGTGCCTTCAATTGCAATTTAAACATACCGCGACATGGATCCTCCCTTAACCCCCTCTTTATGAACTGTTGGCATTGAATGAGCATCTCCTTGGCATCAGCTGATTCAACACCCGAGGATGTAAGGTATCCTCTGGTTGGACGTCAGAGCATAACACCCGCTGGAACCGAATCTCGGACTTACCGAGAGAAGTCATTGTGCCCGCGCTCAGATCAGTGGCGCATCTACAGTTTACTAAACACAGACACAGCTGATAATTGGTATACCGGCATTGACGGCATCACACGTGGAATTTAGAAGTCAGGGAAACAGTAACTAAAGGGGGGAAAGATGTTTGATGGTAAATTGGGATCGATACTGTATTCACGTTTTACAAAGGGGAAAAGTAATGCTGAACTTGTGGGTAGAGGCAGCTGGGTGTTCAAGCATGAAAACATCAACAGGACATTTAGTATCTGGCTTCGTGCTCTTTCCTTGTGTGGGTGTGTTAGGAATAAACCTGTGCAAAGTGGCAACAGTTGAACAGGTTTCTTTCGGTTGTGGATAAAGATTTACGATGGAGGATATCCATATAGATAATGAGGACGACAACATACTTCTAGACACAGACTCTGTCAGATCAGAAAAGTTTACCAGCAAGTCAACGAGGGAACCATTCGTGAAGGAACTCGTGACGGCAGTGCGGCATGCCAAGAAGGGGAGAGGCGCGGGGAAGAGGGTTCGTATCTGCACGACCAAGTCCACAGCCTCGGAAAGACTGTCTCGGCCTTTAACTGGGCTCAGCTTTGTGGAGAGGGCAAGTTCGAGAAAGAAGTCGCAACTGCAACGAGGACTTAGTCTGGGGAACCTCGACCTGAATGCGCTTAAACGTTACTTTCAGGTTCGTGTGGCTACTGAGTTGTGACATTGTAGCTTTATATGATAGAAATGCCGTATCCCTGGCTATCACTCTTTCCAATTCTTCTATTCTTTGACCTTGAACCCAACTTTTGGTCTTACTGTTTTTGGAGACATTGATTTCGTTTTTAGTAGCCACAGCTGAAGTTTGCCTTTGCCCCCATCCCCAAAGAAGTTGTTATGAATGCTGACTAACTAGGCGACAGTGGCCAGATTTCTGCTTTGTTTCAATACTGGGTCAGGCACTCCTGTCAAAACACGGAGGCACAGGTAGCTTAGCAACCCAAGAAAAATGATCCAGGTATCTAAATCCAATAGCTAAAGTTTCTTTCTTCTTCTTAATCTGGACAATTGTAGGCTGGCTTCGCTTGCGGGGGTGTCCCATCCATGGTTTTAATGCTTCAGAACTGCCTTGCTTTTCAGCAGGGGTAGAAAAAGTAGATCATCGTTTTTCACCCAGTTTAATTCTTAGTAATTGGAGGGATAAGTGACATGGTTGCAGGCGAATTCTCTTTTTCCTTTATCACATGACCGCTTGCCTGCACTCTGGTTGGTTAAAGTTTTTTTCTAGGAGGTATCCAGTGGATAGACCAGTCCTGTCTTTTAGTAACTTGCCTCGAGGAAAAACTTCCAGATAAAACAGGTCAATACTTCTTTTGTCCGGTATAGATTGACTCCTCATTCAAATGATTGACATCAACATTTTGAGCTGTAATGACCTTTTAAGATCATCTGTATTGATACAGGTTTATTTCCACTTTCTACATTCTTGTTTAAGTATGTAATAACACCCCCCTAAAGAATGGATCAGTCCCATGAGGAACCCTATACTCTAGTGTGTAGATAACAGGTAGTTAAGCGACCCAGTTTCTTGAAGAAATGTCAGCAGGAGTTATGAGGACCAAAACGTCCTTACAGAGACGCGCAAACTCATTCTCAAACTTAATAGATCGCTTGCTGAGAAGACCACCTGTGGTAGCTGAAGTAACAGTTATTAAACCGGAGGAGACAATCGTCTTAAGTTTGGTAAGTTCTTATAGGCTAAAACAGGACCATCGCCCACGTATCAAGACGCAACCTTATGTGATTGTTTGCATAGTGTAAACAAGTATGTTCGGAGGGGGGTTGAAAATTAGTCCTCTCTTTGAGAGGGATAAATTGTTGAATTTTCTTGACAGCATTCTGTCCAATGAAACTCAAATGTACTCTGCTTTTTAGGCATTTTTATCAGGCTTTCTTTTTGGTTCTTTTGTCATTTTTTCGCCAATCTAAATGTGGCTTATTTGGATACTGCCCTGCCATTGATACTGTCTTGCCAGTTTGACACTGTCTTGTAGCCACCAAAAGATCTGCTTGGAGATTAACTCAATGACAATAACTTAATAGTCTTGAACATTCAAAAATAAGTCTTGAAATGATTCAGGACTGAAAAATTTTTGTCTATTTGAGATATGTTAATTGTACAAGGTTGCTTTGACTCAGAAAGTATACAGATTGGATGTTCCAAGATTATATTAGGCTCAAGTACTTAAACTTTTCCCGACTTCTCGAAATGGAACAAAGAAAAACAACTTGTTGGCATAACACAGCTTTTCTGCCTAATCCAATGATCAGTTGTAAATTACATGCTTGGTTGCTCACTGTAAATGAGAGGTAGTGCAGTGAAGCTAATAGTCTTCAGGAATTTGAAACACCTCTACACAAGGTATATACTATAGACATTGATGCAAGCATTAAAAATTCTGTCTAAAAGGACTACCTGTCCACATAGACCAGATTTTGTTGGTCCCGAATGGTCTTCTATGGCAGTTTTGACTATCTCCCTTGCATTCAAAGTTTTTCCAATAGCCTAACGATAGAAACTTTGCTTAGGGTTTGGGTTTCGTCTGACCCAGGGATCTTTTAACACTACATTCAGCCATTGTATCCCCTGCCCCACTCTGACTATTGTCCTCCTGCCCCACCCAAGGAGAGTCTAAACAAGAACTTTAGTTGACCTCTAGGACACCTGTTCTGACCAGATATACTGCACTGGCACAGGTATATGTTACCATATGTAGACTACCTGGAAGTAGACTTTTTTTGAAATCACTTGCAATACCATCTCAAGCTGCTAGGTAGCACTCGATGGGGGTCAAAACTTGTCAAAAAGTTGAACTTTACATGTTGCTATGCCTGTATGACTCTTTGTAGATTTATTACCTTCGCCAAGAAGGTTATGTTTTCAGAGGCGTTCGTGTATGTGTGTGTGTGTCTGTAAACACGATAACTTTAGAAGGCCTTGGTGGATTGTCTTGATACTTGGTAGGTGGGTAGGTCTTGATGGGACCTCAAAATGATTAGATTTTGGACCTCCTAGCGGCTTGTTATGGTACTGCAGCTGCACTTCCGGTTTTGATATCTCATGATCTAGACATGCTAGGGTGACGAAATTTTGATTGTAGGTAGCTCTTGTGCTGGGGAAGAAGTGACGTGAGTTTGGGCCCCTAGCGGCTTGCTCTGGAACTACAGGACTATATG